TCAGCTCAAAATCCTGTAAAGTCTAAAGTCTTTAAAATGATTCACAAAACTATACATTGCCTGTTTCCCTGCGTCCTCTCTGACCTCCTCGTCTACAACTTTCCTCCTCACTCACTGTGTTCCAGGTACACTGGCTTGTCTAGATGCTCCTCTAACATTTCAGCATGTCACCACCTCAGAGACTTTGTATTTACTGGTCCCTCTACCTGGAACGCTCTTTCTCCAGACATCCTCATGGTTTGCTCTCTCAGTTCCTCTAGGTCTTTGCTAAAATATCACCTTCTCCAACTTCCTTGTTTAAAAGAGCACCCCTCAGTACTCCCTGTACCCATTCCCTGGTTTATTTTTATCCATCATATTATTTTTTTAAGAGACAAGGTCTCACTATGTTCCCTGGACTGCAGTGCAGTGGCTATTCACAGGCACAATCCCACTACTGATCAACATGGAGGTTTTTACGTGCTCCATTTCTGATCTTAGTCAATTCATATCTCCTTAGGCAGTCTAATGGTCCTCCTCTCCTGGGAGGTAACCATACTAATGCAGAACTTAATGCAGACACCCTATCAGCATAGTGCACTACAGCCGAGAACTCAATCTATCCTCCTGCTTCAGCATCCTGAGTAGCTGGGACTACAGGCACGGGCCACTGCACTAGGATCGCCATCACATTTATTGCCATCTGACGTATTGTATATTTTATATATGTATTTGTTCATTGTCTATCCCTCACAGAGTTTCCATTCTCATAATGAGAAACAGAAAATTTTAAAATGACATGAAAATAAATAAATAACAATAAGACATATACCAAGAGGTGATAAATGCTACGGATAAGAAAAAAAAAAGGTGCAATTAAAGAATTGGAGAGTAAAGGAGGTGGAAATGGGGATTGCTATTTTATAAATCAACTGTCCAGTAAATGTATCACTATTAATGACATTTGAGCAGCCACCTGAAGGAAATGAGGTACAAACTATGCCAATGTTCATAGTACAAACATTGTAGGCAGAGGGAACAGCCTGCACAAAGACCCTAAGTGGGATTTCTGACAAGTCAAATTCAGTATGTCCTAACCAGAATCATTACATTTTCCGGATTCTGTTCCTATATTTGTCAGTTCAGTGGACGACACCACCATCCAGCAGTCCCTCGCCCAAGTAAGAAACTCATGAGTTTTCTTCCTCCTCCACTAGACTGACTGCCCTTGAGGCCAGAAGCTGTGTGTAGTCCATCCTTCTGGGTAATGAGTGTGTCACTTAACACAGGGCATGGCATAAAGGAGGTGCTCAATGAGTGGTAACATCACACTTCACTGGTGAATGCTGACACTTAAGCTTGATATTAGGACTGAAAATGCCTCATTTGACTATGTTCAGTAAATGCATGCTCATCAACAAGTTTGTGCCAAACTCTGTTGGGTGCCGAGGATATAAAGTTGAACAAAAGATTCTGCCCTGGGAAACTCAGTCTGGGTATGCATGATCAAAATGAATCCGTGCATAAGAAATCACAGGCTCATGTGTGTTTATATTAAAAACTGCTTTCAAAGTCATATTAGCATTTCCATAACTTTGAAGATCTGTACATTGGATCAGAAGGAGACCAATAATAATAACAGTATCAGTAGCTAACATTTATTGAGATCATGATATGTACCAATCTCTGTGCCACTTTACACAGACTACTCAATTCTTACACAATTCTGTGATGTGGGTGCTATTATTCTCATTTTACAGAAAAAATAAATGTTGAGACTCAGAGAGGTGAATTAGCCCGGCCAGATCATACTGCTTCTAAGTGGTGAGCCTGGCATCCCAGCCCAGGAAGTCTGGTGGCAGAGCCACTACAACGTACCACATCCCTGGGAATGATGAACTTAGCTAGTTGAGCCTCAATTTATCCAGGCGGTCATAGTCTTTTACACTTTGGCCCCAGGCCTTTCTTTCTGGTATAATCTCCAGCTCTTCCTCTCACCACTACACAAATACTTAGCCACAGCTATCCAGAATCATAGCTCTTGCCCAACCCACCATACCCTCTCACTGATGGGCTTTGGCTAGGGCAGGAACCTTTCCCCTACTTTTCTGATTTGATCCATCAAAGCTATCCTCCATAGAACTTTTCTCTGATTCCCCTTGCCACCCTGGGGTCTCCAGAACACCTTTGCCAGACCTCTAGTCTAGGTTTCAGTTCCTCTCAGAACCCCATCCCCAGGTGCCTCAAAATGGTTACCAGTGTACTACTTCCCCCAGTACCTATCAACAGGCCAGGCATAGAGGAAATGACTATGGAAAACTTGGTGAAGAAAGAAACGGGCATTGTAATGATGTGGCCTAGTCTGTCTACTTGAGTTTATGGAGTTGCCTCCACAAAGCCCAGATATCTGTTCTTACGGGCTTTTCACCACAGCTACAAGACACTAGGCAGCACGAGGATTATCTCCATTTTGCAGGTAAACAAACTTAAGAAAGAATTCCTGCTACCCACCACCAGTGCCTGTCTTGACCAAACAAGTTGATCACGTGTCAGTCAGCATGTGCAATGGGGCCTTAGAGTACTCTCTATGCAGGGAGGTATTTTGAGGTGCAAGTTTATGCACACACTTGGTTTTTCTGTACATCGTCCCCGGAGAGAAATGGGCCATACAAACAAGAAGCTGTGTTGTCCCCTCCCACATCCTTTTCCCCTTAACACACACACAATATCCTCCCAAGATTCAGTAATATCAGGACCACAAAGAAGGGTGCTCAGCTGGGAGATCTCTAGCATCACAGACTATTTTTGCTTTCCTGAAGCCCCATTTCTTTAGGACTTAACTCAATTTCTCATGAGTTGTTTCTCCCACACTAGTCACTCCAAAAATGGACTGGTGTGACAGAATGTTTGATGGCTGAGCAGAAGGTATAGAAGACTAGCCCCTGTGACAGGAGCAGCACAATAGTGCCTGGAACTATTTCAAGCCTGCCACCTAACTACTTTGCACACCTCCACTCGCTCTTCTTCCACGACTGAGACTGCTCTGGCCTTTTGTTTCCCTGAACCCCAGGTTTGTAAACTGCTTCTCCGAATCATAATCTTGTCTGATTCAGTGAATCAAAGTTCTGAGTAAAATGTGAGCAAGTTGCAGTGACCAGAGGCATGAGGTAGGAAGGAAATATAATGAAGGTTCTGGAAAAGAAAAGACACTTCAAAATCAGGCCCACAAATGAGAATCAGGACTTTGTGAAGCAGGAAAGCATAGCCCCAGGGAACTCTTTATAGTCCAGCCATCCAGATGGGGAAAAGTTGCATAATGAGCCAGCAGCAGCTCCCTACTCCTCACCATTTATTTAGACTGGGTACTAGGATGGGAATCTAATGTTCAGTATTGAGTTTTGCTGGCAATGTATAGAATGTCATGAAAGGTGATGGAACATATATATTTTCCATAATATTCCATGGAAAGTCATGGAATATTATAGAAAGAAAATGAGTTGAACTGTCAGATCGCAAAGATATCAAGGGGGCCTGATGATGCTTACCCTCTCCTTGTGGTGATGGGGTGATGGACTGGCCCAGAGAGGAAAATGAATTGGCCAAAGTGTCTAGCAAGTCTGAGGTAGAGGTGGAGTCAGATCCCTAGCAGCTATGTCAGTTCCTGTGCTCCACTCATGCAGAGGCAGCAGTCCACCTCTTACCAGTTCAGCAGCTGGATCTTTTCAAGACTGTCAGGACTCAGAAGCAGCAGAGAACACTCCTGCAATTCAAAAATAGCACACATTGTTCTCTAATCCTTCTCCCTATCCTTAACTTTAATCCCCCCACCTCCCTGTTTAGACACACACAAAGTTTTAGGGCTGGGCCTTCTGGATATTCTTGAACTAGTGGTAGAACTAGATTCTTTGTTGCCTCAGCTCACCTGGCCCTGGCAGCCACTAATGCCACTTAACGTCCTTAGGCTAGAGACCCAAGTTCGGCTGGCTCCCTGCCACATCCCCCACACAGTAGCAGACAAGGCTGGTACAGGCCTCCTCACTTTGTCCTCAGGCTGACCTCCGGTTTGGACCCAGGCAAGATTTTCCTCTTAGTATTTAGACTTTTCAGGGAAAAAGGCCTGCACAAAGCCAGGCTCACAAAGGATTGAGGGAAAGGGGACTCTGGAGACCTTGGAGAATCCCTCCACATTCCACAGAAGGAAGAAAATTTGGGTGAGGGTTAAAGTATGGAAACAGGTATCATCTCAGAGAAGAAAAGTGAAAGCAATCCTGGAAGGGGAGCCCGGGGCTCTGGATTCCAAATTGGCCCGTGTCGCCGGCAGGCTGGGTAACTGTGGGGAGGGGCTTTCCCTACTCTATGCAGCAGAGTCGGGGCAACACGTCGGTAAAGGGTGGAAGTTGGGCTTTATGGTATCTAAGGGCCCTGGTGTGCCAGAGAGGAGGACGAAGTTGGGGCGCAGGCGCTGCAGCTGACTTTCCTGGCAGGTGAGTCCCTCCTCCTGGTGGTCTGGGGCAGGATCCGCAGGGCCTTGTCTCCACGACTAAGGATGGGCAGGCCGAGGTGCTAGGAGGTTCTGCAGTCTCCCCAAGTTCCTCAGCCTCTCTGCCTCGTTACTCCCCGCCGGCCTCTAGCTGAGGAATAAACTGCCTAGTGGCGGCCAGGGCACAGGAGAGCGAATGCACAGCGGCCACGGAAATGGGAGTCCGTGAAAACCGAAACCGAGCTCCAGGGATCCGGTGAACCCCATCCGGGCAGGATCGGCTCCTTGAGGCCACGGTGCAGCCATGCCACTACCCGCCCGGCGTGGGGGCAGGAGAGGGGAGCCCCAGCCAGGGGTTCCGCACCCTCTCCGCCCCCTGCCAACACCACGCCCGCACTTATTTGCATTTAAAGAGAAACGCACCAAGGAAAACAGTGGGCGGGACGGGCACGCCTTCTCACCATAGTGATTGGGTTATGCCCCTGCCAATCAGGACGCAGATGCCCCACCCAGTGGCGATGGAGTACGGGGGGGAGGGGGTATGGGGGAGCTACCCAAAGCCTGGGGAAGGGGAGTCAGTGCAGGAGGTGACTGGAGCCGCGGCGGCAGCGGCAGCAGCTGCGGTGGCGGCGCTCTCAGCCGCGGCAGCCGAGGCTGCAGCCCGGCCCAGGGCGGCGCAGCGGACAATAACCGGGCTGGGAACCTAACCGGGCCGGGTAAGCGTTGCGCACAGCCAGGAGCCTCCGCCTGCCCGCGGTCGGGTGCATTCCCGCGTGCTCTTTCCTATGGACTGGAGGAGTGCACTGAGGACTGGGCGGGTCGGAGTCCCGGTCTCTCGCTCCTCTCCTTTGGAACCCGCTTTGCGGACTGTCGGGTGAGAGGCCGAGCGGCCGTGAGTCCCCTGGGCACAAGTGACCACAGCTGGGGGGAGGGGGTTGGGGAGGGCGGATAGGCAGGCAGGCTAGCCTGGGCCATCCCTCCCGGTTCTCGGGGAAGGCGGAGATGGGCCCGCACGTGCTGCCGCACGGTCCCGGGAAGGGCGCCTCCAGCCAGCACCCCAAGCCATGCATTTGTAGGCCGGGAACTCCGCAGCTTTGTTGTAGCACATTTGCTGGAACAGCTGTCTTACATGGGTACTGCTCACCCCGGCTGCCTGGCTGCTGCCCCTCCCCTTCCCTGTGCATCTCCAGCCTGTCCGTCCTTTCTGCGGACTCAAGCTGGCGTGCTGGCTTGGGCCCGACAGAGAACGGCTTTGGAGTAGATTAAGACATCCACAGACTGCCCCCTCCCCTGAGGAGTTAAGTTGGGCCTGTGGGCTGAGCTCAGTTGCACACTTCCCTTCAGAACCTTGGCCTTGCGGCCCCAAGTAGCCGCGCCCCTCCTCCTGGGCCTCCAGGCGCATCTGGCGCCCGCCCCCGCGGTCGGGCAGGCTGGCTGGCAGCCGGGCTCTCGCTGGTCCTTGGGTTAGAGCAGCGGCGCAAGCTAGTCCTTGAGTTAGAGCTGCAAGGCCGCTTTGTCTCCCCCCTCGCCTCACCTCCTTTTCCCTTGGAGGATACTGGCCGCATTTTTCTCTGCAGCCTCCCGTTTAAAATTAGCGATGGACACGGTGTTTGGGGTGCATTGCCTTGCCAGAGGCCGAAGGGGCCGTCATTGTAGTACAAAACGCGTCATACCATCTCTGTGTGTACAAGAGAGCTAGCGGGGTGGCCAAACCCTCCAACTTCGCAGTTACTTAACATACCCAGCCCGCCAGGCCGCTGTCATTGTCTGCTGGAGACACTTCTGACACTGGTGACCGCCCGAACGCTGGACTTTGCTTGGGCTCCCCCAGTGGTGAGGGGCTGCGCCGGCCACATGCGTCACAGCCCAAGCACCTAGGCGGCAGCTGGACTGGCCCCGCAGAGCTGGTCTGTGTTTGGCCACGCTCCCCTTGGCATGGGCCTTGGGGTCAAGGCGAGCCTTGTTTCGCACAGAAACACCTCCCTCTGCGGCTCTGCCTGCCTGCTGCAGCGGCATGGGCAAGGTGGAGGGCAGGGCACTGCACTGTTGGGCTGCCTGCCCCACTGGGATTGAAGCAGAGCCCCTTCCCCCAGTGCGACTCCCCTCATTCATCTCCACCCACTGTACAGTTACTGCACCACGGTGCACATCTGGCAATGAGCTCTTAGGCCTTTCTGAGGAACAGGACAGAGGAAGCAACTGAGGAGCTTGGTAGGCTCTTCTTGGACCTTTGATTAACCTCTGGTTTGGAGAGCCCTGTGGGCTGCAGGGCCCAGGCAAAGCTTTGGCATTTTTGAGGAGGGGCAATGAGACCCAGTAAATCCCTCAGTTGGGGGAAGGCTAGATATGGACTTTTATGACAGGAGCCAGGACCACAGATATTACACTACAGTCACCCCCTCCCACCTTGATTAGGCCCCAACACAAACCTCTACTTGCAGCTAGGCATCTCCATCCCAGGGCTGGACCTGCCCTCTGCCTTGTCTCAGGCCAACAGGCACCTAATGTATGTGCTCTGTGTAACTCCCTTGCCCACACTCAAACCCACTCAGCCTACACCTGTCCAAATCTTCCTTCTCAGACCCCGGTTCTGGGCCTACCTTTTCCTTGGTGCCTTTTTTGCCTGGGTCTTGCCCACCCATGTTGACTTCTTTCTTCTCGGAACTCCTCCAGGGCTGCCTACTTCTCCTGGGCATATTCAGGCTTAAATCATAATAGGAGGCAGACTATAATTAAGTTGGCCTGCCTCTGTTTTGTCTCTCTGATATCATGGATGTCTGGGTTCTCTCAGAACCATTTGGATGAGTAAATAAAACCTGGACCTCAGCCACAAGCCTCTCAAAGCCAAGTGTAATGATTGTTCCAGAAGGACTTGCTTTCTTTGTAGAGTTTTCGAGAAGACCTTTGCCTTTCCAACTTGTGCTTATCCTGATTCATATGAAAGTGACTAGAGAAATGGTACTCAAAGTTGAGATATGTATTGACTGTGCCTAATGAGGACGGATTAGAAGGGGGATGATTGCAATTACAAGAAAAAGAAGTTAGGATATATCCTCCCTCAACAACAGGCTCAGGATTTGGAATGCTCAGACCTCAGACTATGCATATCTTTGGTTGCTGATTCATGAGCCTAGAGGCAAACTACAGGGAGAGAGATCAAAGATCTGTATAAGCAGGGGGATCATCCTGGAAAGCTGCCAGAAATTAGAGGTGTTTGGTAGGCAAAGGGTAAGCAGACCTAGGAATGGGAGGGGAGGGAGTGGTTGACAGGCAGAGTGAGGGGGGTGACTGAGTCTATTCTGGTTTAGATGGTGTGGCTCAGAGGTAGAGAAGAGATTGAGGTGGGGTTTCCCAGAAGCCAGGCTGTGGAAAGGGAATCTGATCCTTTTAGGGGAAGGGGGCATCAAAGAGTAAGGACTTGGCAGGGAGTTGGTGTTTTTTTATATAAATATGTTGTAATAAACACGAACTTTTTGAATGAGATTTAGAATGGGATCTTAGAAAGGGATCAGAAGCGTGCTGCAAAGTCAGGCAGGTAAGAGGCCACCTTTGAATCTGGAAATAGAGCTGTGGGCAGGTTACCTCCAAAGGAAAGTTTTAGTATGTCAGCCTCCTTTTGGAATTGCAGGGAAAAAAGGCAGGAAGAAGCAGGAAGCTGAGCATAAATACCAACATGGTTGGAGCTGAGAAGTGTTCCCCAGGCCTCTGCTGATGGGCTTTTGTTGGTCCTTGGGTTAGCACCAGATTGAACCCCTGTGCTTACAGATGGGAATCCTGAGCCTTGGAAAGCAACAGGGGCTTGCTTAAGGTCACACAGCTATTTAGGGATAGACTGCTGCTTCCCTAAGTCTATTCTGCATTGACAGGAATCAATGCAGATCTCATTAACCATCACCCTCATCTTAACCTCCCTCATTCCCTAAGAGGAAAAGGGGACTGAGTTAACTTGGGAGCTTCATAAGGAGAACCTCTCTGTCGTTTCATGTCTCTTTTGCCTCTTGGTCTTAGTCTGCAGCTTTACTGGGACTAAACATTTCAGAAGGAGAGGAAGTAGTTAGAAGAATTTGTCAGTCTAATGATCCCCTCCTAGTATAGTGGAGGTGTTGGGGAGAGATAGCATGGGGAGAAATGCCAGGTACAGGTGAAGGGGAGGAAGGTAGCAAATCACACTGTCATGTGTGTACCTATGCAATAATCTTGCATGTTCTTCACATGTACCCCAAAACCTAAAATGCAATAAAACAAAATAAATAAAAAAAATAAAAAAAATTCCTCAAGCATGGTGGCTCACACCTGCCATTTCAGCACTTTGGGAGGCCTAGTCAGGTGGATCACTTGACCCCAGGAGTTCGAGACCAGCCTGGGCAACATGGTGAAGCCTCATCTCTATGAAAAATACAAAAAAATTAGCCTGGAGTGGTGGTGGTGTGCATCTGTAGTCCCAGCTACTCGGAAGGCTGAGGCAGAAGGATTTCTTGGGCCTGTGACATCAAGGCTGCAGTGAGCCTTGTTCATGCCACTGCACTCTAGCCTAGGCAGCAGAGCAAGACCCTGTCTCAAAAAACAAAATTTCTCAAGAACTGTTACATCTCCACTCTTGGATAGTGTGTATGGGGTAAACAACCCTGCTCCACTAGGAAAAAGCAGCAAGCCTGGCAGGTAGAATCAAGAGGGAGAAGGGGTTTCCAGCCCCACTTGCTTAACAGATAAGCTATCTGAGGCTAGAAGAGATAATGTGCAATGTTATTTCAGTTTCCCTGCCTCAATCCTGTCTGGGCAGATGCAGTGGGTGATAAAGGGTTAACCCCCATGGCAATATTTCATAGCCTTTCTGTGTCACTCATTCCTGGGTCACCTGCCTCATTGTCCAGTTCATTCTCAGGGCTATTCTGAGCCTTTCATGCTGTAGTTAAACCTTGCACGTGTGTTTGTGTGTATGTGTGTGTGTGGGGGAAGGAGCTGAGAGCAGCTGGCCACCATTGCTCTTCTGCTTAATAATCCGATAGAAATTTCATAGACATTAAACTCTCTCTCCACCCCCAGCTTCTGTTCTCTGAATTAAATAATCTCAGAGTCTTCCATCTCCACTGCTTTGTCTTATTTTTCAAACCTGTGCATGTGTATTTCTAGCAAAGGCAGGCAGGGAAGCCAGAACCACTACAGAGGTACAGGTGCCAGCCTATTAAGAGTACTTTGCTCCCTCCACCCTTTTGGAATTAGGGGAAAATATGAACAATGGAGAAAATGGCCTGAAGGGCATGGTGTGGTCATAGGCAGGCACACGGCTGTTGCAGGGCCCTTTGTGACCCTTTGATCTGCATTTTTTTTTTAAATCATAGAGCTTTCATTGCTTTCATCTCCTATGGTTTTTTCCCCCTGCTGGGCTTCCAAGCAGATATGGATACTAAACTTCCATCTCCAGTCAGCATGCCTTAACCCTTCCTCTCCATCTGCTTGGCCTTCTTGCCGGGGGCTGTGGCTCTTTTCAGGGGAGTGAGGAATGGCATGACCAGTTCTGGGCCCCTTCCTTTCTGGATATATTGGAAATATTCACAGGCCAGCCCCAGTGCATTTTGAAAGAGCAAAATGTTGAGAGGTGGTGCAAGGAGTGAGGCTGGGCTACAGTGCACCTCTGTCCTGAAGTGGTGAACTAGGTCCAACCAGCTAGATAACAGGTCCGCCAATAAGACCTAGGACCCCCACAGCCGATCCGGTG